AGTGATCTTTTAAAATGATACAAAATTGCTTAAAGAGCTATATGTTTATCTTTAGAAATAAAAGAAATTTAGGGGTTGTATCAAATAAAAGAAACACATGGTATATATATATTCGTTTTGTGTTAAAAAAATGGATTTTCATGGCGAATATTTCGACAATTTTTATTCATTACCGTTAAAACCTTACATTTTTCGATTCAGGTCATGTTGATCTATATTCCGAATTTTTAATGGATTTTTGGGCAACTTTTCCAAAAACACAGTGTTTCACCGAGTATGAAATTTTTTACCTTTTTTGAGCACTTTCGAAAATTTTCCAAAGAGTTTTTTTTATAGATTTCAAACTCCAGAACTTCGTTATGGCCTCGTTTTTGGAAAATTCTTACCATGTTGCCAGTACTTGATAAGATTAGAGTGTAGCAGATGACATGTCTTCCAAGAAAATAGAGGGTGGGTGGGCGGGGCTAGTACTTGCTAAGATAAGAGTGATATTGGTAAATGACATACCTTTTGAAAAAATAAAGGGTGGGTGGGCGGGGCTAATATTTGCAAAGTACAGTGAAACATATCCACATTTGCCGAAATAAGTCTTATCTTAGCAAGTACTAACCCCGCCCTCCCTCCCTTTACTTTCTTAGAGGCTATGTCATTTGCCAAATCAGTCTTATCTTACCAAGTACTAGCCCCGCCCACCCGCCCCCTGTTTTCTCAGAGAATATATCATTGCCAAAATAAGATTTACGTTAGCAAGTACTAGCCTCGCCCACCCGCTCGTTGTTTTCTCGGAGTGTAGTACTTGTTAGTACCTGCTAAGATAAATCTTATTTTGGCAAATGACATGTCCTCTAACAAAATAGAGGGCGGGTGGGCGGGGCTAGTACTTCCTAGGGTAAGACTAATTTTGGCAAATGACATACATGTATTCCTAATACATTTCACCATAAGAATTTACCACTTTTAAAACAAAAAATTGTTGATGTGGAAAACATAAATTAATAGCAATGAATTCTTGCATTGAAATGTGTTAATTTGGTTACTTTTTTTAATTTGATTGATTTGATAATTTTATTTTCTATTGAGAAACGTAAATCGGATTGCCAATTATAGTAGCACTCTGGTGTAGTAATGTTCAAATGTTTTTTTTATCATTTGTTAGACTCAGCAATTATATGCATGAAGAGTTGATTTAAAAAAAAAAACATTCGTTTTGCGTTAAAAAATGGATTTTTAGACCAATTTTCCAAAAACTCAGTTTTTCAATACCTCCCTATGAAATTTTTGACCTTTTTGGAGCATCTTTGGAAATTGCCATTTTTTTTTATAGATTTACATATTCAGAAGTTATTTTCGGCTTTATTTCTCCGAAAAGTCCTACAATTTTGCCAGAGTTGCAAATACGATTTATATCAATTTTTAAGATTAAAAAAATTAAAGTAATAGAGAATATCTCACAGATGTTGCTTAGGGACCGTGAAAATGCAATGTTTTTCGAATCAGCTCACCGAAATTTGTGACCTAGAATTTCCATAGATTTTAGGAACTTTTCCAAAAGCTCGATTTTTCAATACTTTATATTAAATTTTTGACCCCTTTTCGAGCACCTTCGAAAATTGTCCAAAGATTTTTTTTCATAGACTTCAATCTTTGGAAGTTATTTTCGACTTCATGTTTACTTCTTCCACATTTTCCATTTTATTATCAAAGTTACGAAATAAACCCATACGCCGTCCCGGCACGACGCCAATGGGTTTATCGAGGTTTTTCTAGTATGTGCGGCGATGATGGGTGAAAAGCCTGGAGCGGGTTACCGAAAGTCTCGGTTGCGGCGTCCAGAAAAACCTCGAAGCGGCGTTCGCGATCTATTCAGAGGAACGTATGGCTTTAAATGGAGGCCACTTTCGGGAACGGATTATTCAGTCGACTCGAATCCAGAGAATGTTAAGAAAAGCCAGTCAAGTTGCCCTGGAATTTATTAAAATGTCTTAATTTGATTTCATTTTTTTTTTGTTCCAAAGTTTTATTTTTTGTCGAGAAAACTAAATCGCATTGTCCATTTAAATAACACAATAATATATTCCTTTTGGGTTAAAAAAATGGATTTTCGTAGCAAATATTTCGACAATTTTTATTCATTACCGTCAAACCTTACATTTTTCGACTCAGGTCATGTTGATCTATATTCCGAATTTTTAATAGCTTTTTGGGCAACTTTTCCAAAAACTCGATGTTTCACCGAGCATGAAATTTTTGACCTTTTTTGAGCATTTTCGAAAATTGTCCAACGAGTTTTTTTTATAGATTTCGAACTCCAGAACTTCGTTATGGCCTCTTTTTTGGAAACTTCTTACCATGTTGCCAGTACATTGATAAGATTAGAGTGTAGCAGATGACATGTCTTCCAAGAAAATAGAGGGCGGGTGGGCGGGGCTAGTACTTGCTAAGATAAGAGTGATTTTGGTAAATGACATACTTTTTGAGAAAATAAAGGGTGGGTGGGCGGGGCTAATATTTGCAAAGTACGGTGAAACATATCCACATGTGCCGAAATAATCTTAGCAAGTACTAACCCCGCCCTCCCACCTTTTACTTTCTTAGATGCTATGTCATTTGCCAAAATTAGTCTTATCTTACCAAGTACTAGCCCCGCCCCCTGTTTTTTCAGAGAATATATCATTTGCTAAAATAAGACTTACGTTCGCAAGTACTAGCTCCTCCCACCCGCTCGTTATTTTCTCAGAGTGTAGTATTTGTTAGTACCTGTTTAGATAAATCTTATTTTAGCAAATGACATGTCCTCTAAGAAAATAGAGGGCGGGTGGGCGGGGCTAGTACTTGCTAGGATAAGACTAATTTTGGCGTTGATTAAAAAAACATTCCAATTTTCCAAAAACTCAGTTTTTCAATACCTCCCTGGATATGAAATTTTTGATCTTTTTAAATTGCCTAAACAAGTTCTTTTTATAGATTTAGATGACCAGACGTTCGTTTTGGTTTAATTTTTTCGAAATACCGTAATACCTAACGAGAAATATTACAATTTTTTTGGATTTAAAAAAAAAATTCGCAAATCTTGACCACAAAAATGTTTTTCGAATCAGTTCGTGAAGAATTTGATAATTTTTTTCCTAAAAACACAATTTTTCTGAATGAAATTTTTGACCCTGTTTTCAAAAATTACAAAGATTTTTTCGTAAATCGTGGAGATCTAAATCATCTGACAACTCTTAAAGGTAATTACGTTAGCGTAGAAACGTAACTCATTTTCAGCAAAAAATTTTACAAAAAATCGTTACGCAATCGTCAGCGTTCGTAACAACCGGAAACATAAGTGCACCACTCATCGATGTACTGTTACACGGAACCAACTCGAGCGTCGTTACGTAACATCGGGAGATCGGAACGCGCTTTACTCATCCACACACACTAAAAAATGTTAAAAACGCAAACCAGGTCATCAGATGAAAATGTGAGGTTTGTGTACATTTAATTATCACCCGTGATCAGTGAAACGTCAGCCTGTGAAAATAAACGAAGTCTATTTTAGATTCTCGTGAACTCCTCAAGTGAATAAGTTCGTTTAATATAGTCATAGTTTAACTGTTTTGAAAACCGCGTTATGCTTGGAGCAGATAACTCAGTAATTACGTTTTTGCGCTGCCATAGTTGTAATTGACATTTTACGTTGACACGTGGCGTGTCGAAATGGCAATGAAAAAGGATCTAGTGCTGCAAAATACAAACGAGGAATTTAAGCTTTGAAAAAATAAATTGATTATCACAAAGTAATTACTACTAATTGATAATCATGTATCTAAAGTTATTATAACAAAAAGTGGCTCGAAATTTTAAAAAAGCGCAATTTAAGTTGTAATCTTAAATAGGGGAATTTGTTGATCAAAATTTGGATTTGTAATAATTTGACGGTTGACACTATTCGGTGGTTTGGTTTATGTTGTTGACAACTATTATGTTATTACTGTTTGTTAGTACTTCTGGTTAATTAAAAAAACCGTTTAAACTTGACGTTATTCGCAACCTCACGCTGAATCATATTCACAAGATTCTCTCTGATCTGGAGCCGCAAATAAAAATGTGTCCACTGGTAAGTATTTCAGACTTCATGGGCTTGTGTCATTCCGCCGCTTTAAAAACGCTGTTAATTTATAAAATTTCGAATGATTTATATTATGTTTCATGCCAAGAGGACTTTTCAGAACTGAATATATTGTCCACAGTGTGGAGGCTTTCATAATTTCCGACTTAATTTGGAAATAAACCACGAGCGTCGTTTTAGAAAATTCGCGTATTTTATTTTCTTCGCACCACTTGTTGAATTTTTGATATTCGGCTTCATATGGACCTGCAGATTTTGCAGGCAACAAATTTGCAGTTGCTTTATCTGCAATTTTCTGAATACGTGCACGATTTTCCATTTCAACTTTAAAATTCCAAATTTTGCCCGGACAAATTGACAGATTGGTATTTGACGTATTTGGTAATAAATTCAATACCAACATAATTTCGGTTCAGTAATATTTATTCTTTTAGCGATTGAAAAATGTTATTTTTTCAAAAAGGCAGCGCAAAAAATATTGTATGAAACTCGCGTGAAAACTCCATTGCATTACTCACTTACATACAGCGCTCGACTGCGTCTCGCGCCGTATTCCCGTTCGTAATGCAATGGACCGTTTTCAACACTTGTAACATAAATAACTATTTCGATTTGTTAGGAATTTGGTATGAACCATCCACCCATACATAAAACGGAAATTCTCGTGAGAGCGACTCGTCAAAAATAACCCCATCTCAAAAATAAGTCATTAGACATTAGAAATTTAAGCTTGAGTCACAGCACTAAAAGGAACCATGCTTCTCGAACTTTTCAAAAAGTAAAAAAAAGCCATTAATTATTATTCCGCCACTAATTAATTATAGCCCTCCGGTTCCACCTTTTCGCTTGTTTTATTCTGATTAGACTCCTCGCGTGTCTTTTCCAGATTGGGTGCAATGGACAGTTTGCACGTAACTTCCCAACAGACTGGAAGCAAGACTTCGAGCAGAAGTACATCACCATGCCGGCCTCGGGAGCACCACTCTCACCATCCGCCTCATCATACCAAAACACTTAGTCACGGTTCCGACAGCGGAAAGGTAGGATTTCTAGAATCTTGTTAACAATCGTGAAGAGGCAAATCTCCAGAACGTGTATTATTAATATTATTATTCATCGCTTATCGTTCGAGGAGGTTCAAAAATGTATTTATTTTCGAATCGCCTCACGATAAAGCTCGGAGAGTGATGACCTCGAAGTATTACGATGTGTTCGATGTTGTGCTCTAAATCGAAAATAACCAAGTCGCATTCGGCACGAGATCGAGATCGATGCAACATTTTAAACGAAAATTGCGCGTTTATTCGAATTTCGTGACGTCACGATTGCCACAGTTGTGTGACGTCACGCCGCTTTTATTTCTACTCGTTCCAGTGGGATAAATGCGTCCACGATGAATTTAATTATAACTCTCGAACATGGAATTTGACCCTCTGCAGCGGCTAATCGCGAAACATTAAATACTCCTCTTCAAACAATCTCGTTATCTCCGGATAAACTCTAATTCAGCTGAAAGCAAGTGTCAAGGATGACTTCCGATGGTAGATTAAGAACGACAAAGAAAATGCTCGTTTGCGCGACATGCTATTTAAGCCCCGTCGATACAAATAAGCGGAATAAATTTGAAAAAAAAAGGTCGGAATAAACACAAAGGGAATTAAAGCCGGGCGATGTTATTTTCGTTGCAATCTCGACTAAATTTTACATGCGGAAAGGGAATTGAAAAGTAGGCGAAATAAAGCGACTTTGATGGCATCCGAGTGCGGATCAAAGTTTTATCATGGGGATTACGACACGATCAGTGATAAATCTCGTGTTATTTGCCTATTTCGGCAAGAATTATGATTATGCGATCGAAAAATATTCAAATCAGGAAACTTTGACCGAAGTGATAAGTTTGTGTTTAGCTTGTGCTTTCGTACGAGGAAGGATGAGCGATAACGGTGCTAATTTTATGGGGGTTAGATAGGGGCGATTTGATAATCGTTTATTTCGGCACGTGATTTGGGGTCACGTGCCTGGATGAAATTGCAAATTTATTTGGAGTGTGGTGGGGTTTTTCGAAAACTGGAGCTTTCTAGACTGTTTAGAGGCTATTTGGTCATAATTTCATAACATCAAGTCCATTTTAACAATTTTTACTTCCCGAGCGTAAGCAAAGGAAGTATTGTAATCGAGTCCGTCGGCCGACTCTCTACTTTTACGTTTTCTCGATCTTTCATGACCCCTAGAAGACGAAGAAATAGGTCTCCCATTTCCGTCGGTCTGTCCGTCTGTCCGTCTGCCGTCCCGGATTTTTATTAGACAGATAATCTCCGAAAGTACTCGACCGATTGTTGTGAAATTTTGTACTTATATTAAGGGGATGTTTGCTAAAAGAAAACTGTCGGATTTTTAATTTTGCCGTGTTATTGCCTTCACAAGAAGTTTGCGTGTAGAAAAATAAAGACGAGAAGTAGTGGTAGGCTGGTTGAAACTCAGGAAAGCTGGGGTGTAATTTATGACACCCATAATCTCTGGTAACAGTTCGGCACCCGCTTGTCGTGTATTATTGTTCGATTTTCGTTCGTCAACAGTTCAATTTTCATATACGAAAAAAGACCACAAGAAATTAATAACAAATAAAAATCTGAATATGTACAAAAATGAACATCGAAAAATTAAGACAACAAATAGTAAGTCCAAGCAATTATAATCTAATTGGGAAACTGATTGATTTACAACAAAAAAAGCACTCAGCCGAATAATTATAAATGCAGTTATTTTTCGGACACACAACAATCACTTTCGCAACACTTAAAAAGATTTGTGGCAAGTAAAACAAAATCAATTTTAAGTGTCCAAATGGCTCTACTGAGTGTGTCCCTATACTGAAATGCAACGAGAAAATCACCAATTTCTGCATCAGTACGTACCTATATGTCATGATGAAATGCAAATTATAAAATAAACTAGAGACTAATAATTTGTTTCGTTTTTATTTATGCGTATTTATAAATATACCCAATTGTTTTACTTAAAACTAAGTACTTCAATTATTTGGTTTACATATTTCAATTATAACTGGTTCCCTAGCTGGTTAGTATCGGCTAAGTTCAAACTAAAGTGGTATAGAAACTACCTGTGTATACTGAATGGTTATCCGGCTAATTATAAGGTTTATGGTAATCTTTTATTCAACAAAATAAAATTCTTTCAGGTAATACACTTTGATCTTTGACAAAAAGCCGAGAAGCAATAGGATTGGTGATTATATAAAGTAACAATAATAAAATTTATATTAGTAACATTGGCTTACACTTTATGTAAGTGTATAAAAACAGCGGCGGGTCTAAAAAACAGTAATATTTATATGTACAGAAATTAGGGAATAAAAGCATAATAATAGTAAAACTAATCAAATGATTATTAAACTGCATTTTTTGTCTGTAGTTTTAGTAGGTTTTTGACATAATAATTCTGATAAAAGTTTTTTCCACTTTTTCGTGGCTTTGAAAGTGGAATCTTCGACTTTCGTCCTATTTCAAAATATGCTCTTTATATATTTCAGTGGTCACGAGTTCGCTAACTACACTGAAGTAAATTTATGCAAAGATTAAATTTGTCACCGAAAAGATGTCGGAAGTAATAAATTATCCCATCGGTCCAAGAACGTTCGGTGGGTGTTATACCCCGATCCGAGAGAGACCGCAGTAAGGGACAGCAAATGGAACGGATAAAATAAAGCTTCAAACATGATCAGTTTTAAATCAAAATTATGAAGTTTTATGAATCGAAATTTTTTTTTTCTTTTTGAAATATCATAGTAAACACTTCAAAGAATGTCCATGACTTACTTTAATGTGAATTTTATAACTATGATCGGCACAGTCGGACCTAATATTAGTGTAATTTTGAGCATATTTGCGATTTTATTAGAGCAAAACAGGTCATTTTTTCTCCAATTTTATAAGTTCCGGACACCAATAGCATATCAAAGATATTGTAAAAAAAAAATTTAGTTCAGATTCCAACTAGTTGTCTAGAATTTGTGAAACAAAATCTACTGTAAATTCACTGAAAACCAAACCGATAACATCACCTTAAGAATATCATGTAGATGGTAAAACGCTAACCAAAATTTGTCTAATCATCCCCACCACTAATGCGATGACGTCACTTCAAAATTGTACATAGTAAATGGGTTTTCAATTGTATAAAATAACATAGTCCTACACATGTAGTTTACAACTCTGAATCGACTTTTCACCCGAAACGTCCAGATTTTTGGAAAAAAAATCAAAATTATAAAACAACATTTTGAAATTTAATTTTTAATCTGCTAACCAGAATGCTTTGAAATGTTGCAGATGTTTTAAGGCTGTAAAGAGCATCATAAATCTTTAGTCAAGTGCTTATCCCCTCCAAAAACTTGATGACGTCAGCTCAAAAGTTTGTGGAATAAATCATATCTAAAATGTACAAAATATGATGAGTCTGTACTTGTGATCTATCACTCCATTCATATTTTTTGGATTTGCATATACAGGGTGACTCAAAAAAATTAATGAATGCGTAAATATATTTTATTGATTTAATCAGGAACTACAAAACCGAATGCTCTGAGATCTTGCAGATGTTTTAAGGTCATAAAGAGCATAATAAATGTTTAGTCAAAATATATTTGCTTATCCCCTCCAAAAACTTGATGACGTCAGCTCGAAAATTTGCCGAATAAATCATATCTAAAATGTACAAAATATGATCAGTCTGTACTTGTGATCTATCACTCCATTCATATTTTTTGGATTTGCATATACAGGGTGATTCAAGAAAATAAATGAAAGCGTAAATTTATTTTACTGATTTACTCAGGAACTACAAAACCGAATGCTTCGAAATCTTGAAGATATTTTAAAATTATCATAAGCATGGTAAATTTTTGATCAAAACGTATTTGGTCGTCCCCCCTAAAAAATTTATGACGTCACCACAAAATTTTGCTGAATAAATCCTATCTAAAATGTACAAAATATGGTGAGTCTCTTCTTGTGATTTATCATTCCATTCAAATTTTTTCGATTTGCATATACAGGGTGACTCAAAAAAATTAATGAATGCGTAAATTTATTTTATTGATTTAATCAGGAACTACAAAACCGAATGCTTTGAAATCTTGCAGATGTTTTAAGGTTATAAAGAGCATAATAAATTTTTAGTCAAAATATATTTGGTTATTTTCTACAAAAAACTGATGACGTCAGCTCAAAAGTTTGCCGAATAAATCGTATCTAAAATGTACAAAATATGATCCATTCATATTTTTGGATTTGCATATGCAGGGTGACTCAAAAAAATTAATGAAGGCGTGAATTTATTTTATTTTATCGATTTAATCAGGAATTACAAAACCGAATGCTTTGAAATCTTGGGAATATTTTAAAGTTATTATAAGCATGGTAAACTTTTGTTCAAAATGTATTTGTTCATCCCTCCTAAAAAAATTGATGACGTCACCCTTAAATTTTGCTGAATAAATGCTATCTAAAATGCAAAAAATATGATGAGTTTGTACTTGTGATTTATCATTCCATTAATATTTTTTAGATTTTCTTAAGAGGTGGTTCAAAAAAATTAATGAAGTCAATTTATTTTATTGATTAAATTAAAGGCAACACTTATTATTAGTATTACACCTCAACCAACCCAATTTGGTAGACACAAAATTTGTTAAAGGAAAAACTCGGTTGAAACATAAGGGTAGCACGCTTATTTACATCGACTTTAACATTACAGACCTGCATTTGTTTTATGCGCTCACTTGGTTCCGCGAATGTGAAATAGACATGTTTATAATCAACCAATTGTGAATTTCACCGTCAAGAATTAAAATAAAACCCAATGTTTTATATAATAAGCGGAAGTCGAAGCAATAAAACCGATGGTCGTTTTGTTTACAGTTTCTCTGTTTGACTCTCACGTATGCTGTTACGCCTGTCATCTTAAATTAAGAATGTTTATACATACACGATTTTCAGTTGCCTCTGATACGTATACGTGA